ATGAGATGCAAACACAAGTAAATATAAACCTCATTGTTTCTCATTACTTTCACTACATGACAGAATGTATGTGGTTAGTTAGTTGTTGTTTTGTTTAACGCCGCACTCAGCAATATTCCAGCTATATGACGACGATCTGTATAAATAATCGAGCCTGGACCAGACAATCCAGTGATGAACATCATGAGCATCGATCCATGCGATTGGGATCGATGACATGCATCAACCAAGTCAGCGAGCCTGACCATCCGATCCCCTTAGTCGCCTCTTACGACAAGCATAGTCACCTTTTACAGCAAGCATGTATTGCTGAAGACCTATTCTATCCCAGATCTTCACAGGTCGACAGAATGTAAGACAAGATATTACATGGACCTATATTAATATACAAGGAATCCCAGCTTAAGATAGTCCTTGTAAAGGTCTACCAATAGGTAGCATTTTCACCTGACATCAGGGGCCATGGACAATTGAAGTTCACCGCTAGTGTCACTTCTTTGAGTTTAGAAGTTGTTTTGACGAACAAGGACAAATTCTCACAGAAAGGCAACTTTTTTATTACCACTGAGGCGACAGTTTGGTGTACATTCTAACACCTTTGTCAAGCAAGTGGTCATCACTTACAGGTATGGTGTGGAGAGACTTTGTTCGGCAGGTGACTTTGTTTAAATTATGCCTCTGCGTTCACCCAGCCTTGAATGGGTACCCGGTAGGATGAGATGGTCATGTGACTGTTAACCTCCTTGCACCTAACAGGCAGCATGGGTTATATTCTCCCCACAGCGCTAAGAATGAAAATCTAGCCTAGCTGAACTTGGTGCTAAATAAATGGATGAAATTATTATTTTGATCATGGTCTAAAAGAAATTATGTTGTTCTGATGCCTCTTAATAAAAAGAGAGAGGTAAGCAGGCTTATTTCTTCTTAAAAAACAACAAAAATAACACATAAATTTGTCCTTTACTTTAACATTATAATAAGGTCACTTTGACTTTAAATTTTGAAAGCTAACATTAACACAATATAATATATATTGATGTGTTATTCTCATCCCAACACAGAGAGCTACAACAATTGGTGTACAGTATAAATCCTGATATACACATATAGGCCCACAGTAGAGATTGCCTAGCCCCTGAAGAATAAACGTACTACAGTAAACACCAACACAAACAATGCAATGCCATATGGCAAGACAGACACATGCACAATTGAGCAAAAGGTATGGAGAAAGGCTCTGACGTTAAATATTCTTGTACCCTCTAAACCACAACTAACATACTCTCTGCCTCAGATTCTAACTAGTACATATTTCAACAAAGGTCTTTTGGTCAAGTCTCCAGCATAACTTTACAAGCGTGTAGCATTTGTATGTCAGTGTCTGCGTAAGTCTCTGTCATATTAAAGGTTATTATGATATTCTGTAAAACCTTTTTTTATAAGTTGATTTATGAAATGTTTCTCTCAAAATCTTAGGTTGGTTGACAAATATAAAATCAGACCCTTTAATAAGTTTTGTTTATTTTCGTAAATTATTAGTCTGCGGGTTGAGAAAAAAAATTAAAAAATCCAAATCATCAATTTTTCATTTGATATTGTGTGAACAATTGATAGAATTATCAGTAAAATATCCTGATGCTGGAATTTCAATATTTCCTCTCACATCCCTGAATTTTAGGGTCAGTTGATCTGTATAGTAAGTATCAAAAATAGAATGCCTCTTGTCTGTTATTCTCCAGCGTAAGTCTGTAAATCTCTAGTCTATGTATTAAAGTCTATGACATATTCTCATGTTTGTCTGCAAATCTCCAGCCCAAATACAACTTTCACCACATATCACAGTTACAATAATTACTCACTCAAAGTATCTCACATTTGTACACAACATTTTACAGCTATATACATACATATTATATATACCTATTGCTGACCACCAATGTAACCTATATACAGTAAAATGGTGTGAAATGCTGTTACACTTGTTCATCCCAGCAATCCAGACTCACAAGCTAAGGTGGCGGCGCCATTATGAACATTTTAAGGAGAGACAGTAGTCCTTCAGATGAACTGCTTTGGCCATGGTACGTTGCCTGGTGTATATAGACACCCATAAAACAAGTGCTCAGTAGAAGCATTCAGTGACATAAACTTCTGTTACACAAGTAAAGCCTATCTGGCACCCAGCAGTGCTCCCGCTGACTTCTGAAACTGCCAGCCCCAGTGGACTGTCAACTATCAAAATTACCAGTTCCTCCCAATTTTTGTCAGTCCCAACTTTGAACAAATAAAACTGGCATGAAAATCACCTAGTTTTCTTTCAACATCAATTACAATGCAGTGTACTTTTAAGGATGACTATTTCAGTGACGTCACTTCAAAAGTAACTTAGTTAAATCTACACGTCATTCACACAAAATTCAATCGCAATTTTCTCCCTTTTTTTCTGAAAGGTTCACTTGATTCAAGACTAAGTCGCTACAAATAGATATTAAACCTAGAAGCAATGCGAAATATTATTACCTTGCACTAAAAATAGACAACGGGAAACCCTGATGATAACAGACATGGTCTTCCTTTTGACTATCGATGATGTTTTGTTCAACAACAAAGATTTACAAGATACCTCATTTGCCGGTCCACAGGGACTGGCAGTCACAAGCCTAATTTTACCGGTAAAAAACTGGTAATTACTGGTAACCGGGAACACTGACCCTGGCAACAGATTACCTTGTTATACCCCCACCATTTGTAAGTTTTCAATGAACATGTTGAAAACATACATGTTTTTGTTGTTTTGTCCACAATGCTTTCAAAGTTTCATAAACAATACATGCTTTCCCACAACCTGAACAGATCACAGACAATGGTCTTCAGTTTCTGGGAACTACCGGTATTTGAGTTGACTCTATCTTATTTCACACTGCTCCAAGTATGACCAATTACTCAACAATCAGGTTTACATGCAGTCTCCAATACCTGCTGATAATGTAAACACAAGTACAATTCACTTCTAATGTGTTTGATAAGCAGCAATATGTATTATCCCTTGGCAGTCTAAAGAGTCCAATCATAAGTACTAAGGGAAAACATCCAACAAAAAGGCACCAACGGGAAAAATAAATAAATTAATTGTTAAAAAAATTGTATATATGTTTTGACAGGTGGCAGTCACGAGACAACAATAACATTTCCCCAGAGGAATTGGCTAGTAAATGAAACCTCCTGTAAATGAGGTTTTGTCTTAACAAATACATTCACTATTAAGTCATGACCTTTTTAAAGCATTAGTTTAATGAAGTTTAATACACTGCTGTCACCGCAAGACCCTATCATCCATATGAGTACAGCAAAGTACTTGTTTTATGCCAATGCTGTAAGAACACAAATACTCCAACATGTATAATGCGCAATTATGTTAAAACTGCTTTTGTTAAAAAACAAAGAAATGTGTATTATATCTTATACTGTTTGCACCTTAATTGTATTTCGCCTGTACAAAAAGGCCCGTGGCCTACAAGTACTGAAAAATAAAGAAAAAAGAAGAAAAAAAGAAGAAAAAAAAGGTCATGCTGCCATTTCACAGATCCTTTCCTCTAAACTTCAAGGGTCCGCCACGGCACTCAGTGAATAAATAATTCTTGAATTTAACAATTACCCTATTCTCAGGAAGTTAGTGATACAAGACAGTAGGGATGGTTCTGGCAGAGAATGTTTACAGCTATGACCACATGTATGTGCAGAGCTCTTGTCCAGTGAGTGTTTAACATTTTGGCCATCTGTAGTACTGAGTGGAAACGTACTTTGACCTATACACTTTATACAACAGTGCTGATTCAGCTGCATGCATCTCGAGAATTACCATATTCAATGTAATAAGCGCCCAGGGCGCTCTCAAAATTAGAAATAGGGGGCTCTTATTAGAATATTATTTTGGTGGAAAAAACAGAGTTGAAAGATAAATTTCGTGGTTTATGTGACAGTCTGAAATGTTTATATACGACAGATATTTTTTTTCAGAATTTAATTGCCCATAATTAAGGGTGCATATAACACACGAGTGCGTATTTTAAGCGAATAAATAAGTCTTGTGTACATTGATCAATCGGAAGGGGTGCTAATTGGAATTGTTCACTAGCCAATATACGAGCAATAATCGCCGTGGGCGCTTATTACGTCGAATACGGTACATGACTTCTTGCAACTGTACCTTTATATCCCAGGAAAGGGCCATCACTCGTCCCGTATGTATTAGTATGAACTTAAGAACTGGAGAAAAAGTGTAGAATAACAAATAAAATACAAGAGATCATGGACCAGCTGTACAAAGTGCTTCAATGATTGTTGAATGATTGTTTGTTGCTTAATGCCACACTCAGCAACATTCTAGCTGCATGACGGCAGTCTGTAAACAATCAAGTCTGGAACACACAATCCAGTGATTGTTATCATGAGCATCGATCCACGCAATTGGGACACAATGCCATGCATCAACCAAATCAGTGAACTTGACCACCCAATCCCATTAGTCGCTCTTACGACAAGCATGGGTTGTTGAAGACCAATTCTTACCCGGATCTTCACAGCTTCCCGAGGCAAGAGAGTGAACTGACTTTAAAAGTCCAGTTTCCACCCTTGCCGAACTAGGCTGGAATTCCTGGGCTCGATCATAGAGCCACCAGTGGCTATTACGAGTTATGTCCTTTCTATGCCTCTCCTATTGACCAATCAGATTCAACCTCTCGTATCACTTGCATTTGCTTCAAACAAAACGGTGGCGCCCAGTCAAGACAATCTGATCGATAATCAAGATCTATATTGTGATAAAACGAGTCTTACATCGCGAAGTGCATCAAATCACGTGAGCACCTTGATGAAAAACAGGAAAAGATTTAGAAAATATCTGTTGACAACGAGTTAGCGGTGCACATGCTTTGCAAATCCTGCAGTCGACCGAAATCTGCATGACAGTTTATGAACTGGATTTCGATTTCATTGATTGGACTATGCATAGACTCGTCAGTCCAGCCAAAATGTAACTCCATAATACTAGCCTAGTTTGGCAAGGGTGGAAACTGGACTTCTATAGTCAGTTAACTCACTTGCCTCGGGAAGATGGGATCTTCATGGATATGCATCAATAAAGTAAGCCCCAAGCCAATAGCAAGGTACTTTCAGCATTCATGAGGGGCAAAGAATCTCTAATTCTGACTTTTGAGGTTATTCACTGTATTACTTATTTTCATTTTAAAAAAGAAAATGAAGAAAAACAATAGTAATGTCAAGCCAACAGAGGAACTTCACAAAAGTCAATCTGTTGTGTTCTCAACAAAGCAGCAATGCGACATATCGCTTAAACTGACCAATCAGCATTGAGAATGGCTGACGTGCGCATACATAAATATCGGAAAATGCTGTTACACTCAATCTTTTAACTCTCATGGGTAACGTTTATCTTTTTGGCATCATTAAAAACATACATTAACAAAACATGCACTAAATGTCTTGAAGACAGTTGATGTCATCCAGAGTTTCATCATCAAGTAGGGACCACGACGTGTTCAGTCCTGTGATGTACTTCTGTTCTAAAGCCGACATCAGTCTCTCGTCAGAGCTGGAGGTCGACTGAAGCAGTTCGGGTTCAAGAGTTCTCTGCCCCTCGTTCTTGTCCTGAAGCACACTCTTTTTGAACTGATGAAACCGTGCCATGATCTCATCATGAGTGGGCTCACTGCTTATTCTGTTCTGGTCTTGAACTGACTTGAAAGGAGACTTGCCCTGAAGCTGTAGACCTTCGCTCAAGGGAGCGAAAGATTCATCCAACGATTGAAACCTGTCTGGAGTAGCATCTTCTTCATGCACATTCTCAGTGTCATCAAACACCGACCTGACCTGACTCGAGTCAGCATCACCGACCTGAAATGATGTTTCTGGTCGGGAAGTATTCAGAACACCTTTGCTGAACATGGGCATGGTCTGAGACATCCATGGAGACAAAGCATCAGTGTCAAACCTTGAAGGAGGATCCAATGAAGAACTTGTATTGACTTTCTCTGTTGATTGGGAAAATGGACTCTCCTGTAAAGACATATATTTTGACCTAAAACGTGGAATTTGAGGTGTCTTGGTGTGAAAAAGGTCATCAACAATATGCGTTGAAGAGCCTTTGGGTTGTACTATGGATGACTTTACTGGGATGTCTTCTTCTTCTTCCTCCAGTGCTTCTGGTGACAGTAAAATATCTGCTGTGAGATCGTCAAGAGTGGTGAACTCCTCATCATCCTGGAACAACATTCCACTGAATCCGTTTGACTGGTGAGGTGGACCCTCTGAATAACAAGAATTGACACAGAATGACAAGGATTGACTACAATAACAAGCAATTTTTCAACTAGCTTGATCAAACAGTGAACACTAACAGGAATATCTTGATCGACAAGGAGAAATAGCAGCATTCAACATCGTCCCCCAACAAGTAGCAAGATCATCAACATCTGGTTCATATCCCCATCAGTCACATTACTATATCTAGTATACAATATAAGTATTAACCACTTTTTTCTGGTTTCCATGTTTTCAGCAAGATATGCTTGTCATATTGGCAGCTGTAGTTTAAATTCCTTCCCTCTCTCACTCATTTCCAAAATCTTTGCGTTTAAACTGCAACTTGGGCTTAAAAATATAAAAGAATTGGTTCTCAGGATATGGATATGGTTTTTGAAAATATTGTGTGGGCGGGTGGTGTTTTTGTGTGTTGTTGTTGAAGCTAGTATGTAACGAAGTTTTGTTTACAATCATTTCAAGAAATCATGTTGTTCTTAAGTATTGTAGCATTTTACTGGGTAGTGTGCTGGAGATGTGGAATATTTTTCTATGATGATGTGGACAGAGCCTTAGAACCAAGACTATTATTTTTTTTTGCCTTGTGTGTGTATAATTTATACCAGATGTGGTCCATAATACATAAATTATTCATATTATCTTCTGTTTGTCACAAGAAATGGTCGTGACATAGTTGTATAAAGTGAAAACTTGTCCATCTAGATATCCTGCTTTCTGGGCGATTACTTCGGGGAAAGCATATATGTGTTGTTACTTATGTGACGTTCCTTATGACTTGTTAATCCAGACAACTTCAGTGGGAACATTACCCTCAGGACTCTCCAGTTTGACTGTACATGTACACAGTGCATGAAGGATATTGTATCCTACCTCTGGCTGACTTCTTGGCCTTGGCAGATCTGTTGACATTGAGATCCAGGGAAGTGGTCATCCGTGGAGAAGATGCTGGCCGCTCCAGGTGCGGCGAACCCGGAAGCGTCTCCCCGTCCAGGGACTGCCGCCACAACCGCCGGATCTCCGTCTCAAGGTGGCTCCCCAGCTTCCGTTCGGGGGACTGGACTGCAAGCACAAGCAATAATACAGACATGCAAGGCAGACAGTATGTCAGAACTAGGGGTGACTACTGGGGGACTGCAACTTCTTGTTTTCACTATTGCGATGTATTACAATATCAGCACACAACAGTATTGCCATAGTATTGTGATAGTATGAAACCAACTATAAGGCTTGATAATTATATTAATCAATGTAATGGAAATGAATAAAATATTGCTGACAATCTCAAAGCAACCCATGCTTGCCGTAAAAGGCGACTATGCTTGTCGTAAAAGGCGACTAACGGGATCGGGTGGTCAGGCTCGCTGACTTGGTTGATGCATGTCATCGATCCCAATTGCGTGGATCGATGCTCATGATATTAATCACTGGATTGTCTGGTCCAGACTCGATTATTTACAGACCGCCGTCATATAGCTGGAATATTGCTGAGTGCAGCATTAAACATGTTAAACAACAAACCAACCAACCAACCAACCTTGTCACAACTCAAACCAAAGGGAAGTAACTCTAAGCTGAGGTTCTCGTAATCCATCATGATCCATGCCAACCAACACACAGGCAGGTTTCAAATTCGCATAATTTATGTTATATTTATAACTCAGTGCAACTTTTGAAACTATTGATTGTTATGCATACAATACTGTATCGACAATACTGTTGGCATTTCTATATTCTTATTTGATGAAGTACTATCGTAGGGCAAACAATTGCATTCATTGGTAGTCTTATATTTTGTTACACTGTTTTTCAGTACTGATAAGGTAATAAGATAAACGTCTTGCTCACATGAGTGAAAGCATTCCATTAAACTGATATGTGTGTCTGACTTCTTGTTATTATATGTTTATCCCCTTGAGACATTAGTTCTGGTAGTTGAAAAAGATTGATTTTTGAAGAGCAGCGAGTGAATATGATTTCACAATGGCAGCACACTTTTCATAATAGTCCCACCATATCACAGCAAGGCACAACAAGAATGGGCGCACATTGTTGTCATATAGGGAATATACCTGTCTTTGGAAAAAGAGACAACTATTTTACCACTAGGCTACATCAATGTCGCAACAGAGGCGTGTTCAGGAGGGCGGGGGGCTGTTGAACACGTCTAACCACGCGAGCGCACGCGTGTACTCATGATCGAGCCCGAGAGGTAGTTCGCCTCGTAATCCAAGATGGCGTCGCACATTGAGCAAATGTTTGCCTTTGAAGAGAATGGAACCGATGTCAAAAGAATAATCTTTAAGACTAGATCTACCATCAAAAAGTTATTTTGCATTTTCGATATATTGACCCGTGATGATCAGGTAAGACAACAGGTCTTCCGCAACCCATATGTTTGCCGTAAGGATCGAGTGATAAGACTCGCTGACTTGGGTGATGCATGTCATCGTATCCCCATTGCACAGACTGTTACTCATGTCGATTGCTGGATTGTTTGGTCCAGCACAGGGACATGTAAGTAATAATAAAAATAAACACTTTGTTATCATGAACATCAAAGTATGAACCTTTCAAATTTGTGATGAAATTAAATGTGTGAACCTATGACTCTTGTTGACAGGGCTGTTTTGATCCTCGGCAACGCCATTTTGGATGCTGTGCCGCGAGAGCGAGTAGGCGCCTCCCATTCAGAAAGGCGTGATATTGCCTCACTGAACTCTCGCGCGGTCGCTCGCCCTCCTGATCACGCCTCTGATCTTACAATGCTTAGGTATGGAAAGTCTACTCACTGGTATTCTGCCTCGGTGACAATGGAATGTCTGACTGGTGAGCAGATTCTGCAACGCCGTGGGATGGAGATGTGACTGTTGTCCCTGACACTGCCTCCTGCTCGGTTGTTTGCCTAGACACCCCTGCCTTATCTTCAAGATACACAGACTTTGCAAGATCCTCTGACAGATTCGAAACATCTTGTGCGGTTTGATGCAAGTCTTCTAACGAACTAGAGTTTGGAAAGATAGGAAGACTGAGATGACTCTTATCAGCTGGGGAGTGGACAACTTTCCGAGGCCTCTGGCTTCCATGCGGATCAATCTCGGGAGAAACGTCTTCAGGCATGTCAGGATGTCTAAACACCTCAGTATCTGCACTCCTGTTTACAGCATGATGGGGTTTATGTTGTGAAGTTGGAATTGGGGGACCATTCTTAACGAAGACATATGGTAAGTCTGGATACCGGAACGCATCCGGGTCCTGCTGCTTCACAGGACTATGCTGTGGAGGAACAGATGAAGATGGCTTGGGCAGTTTTAAGCCACCTCCCACAAAACTACATGACAACTTTTCTATTGTTTTTTCGGAACCTCTTTCAAAACTAGAATTTCTTAAATATTCTTCTCTGTCCAGACTCTTGCTAACAGCGTCTCGAGAGGAAACATTTTGTCCTTTACTGAAACCTCGGTCCTGCTGTGCCTCCACTTCAAGCAGCTTGTGGTTGATGTTGCTGGAATTTAGGTCCACTTCATCCCTGACAACAGCTTGAGGATGGGCCTGGGAGAAAGGGCTGCGGAGGACGGATCGTGTCTGGTCCTGCAGCCTCTGGGCATAGTTGAGTGGGGGACAGTTCTCAGTGTCCTCAAGGTCCTCTAGGTCCAGCATGTGAGATACAATCTGAGGACAGCAGTAGACAGATATCAGTTGTGTGAGCGATACCAGTGCTCCAAATTAAACATGAAAGTCAAATGGTCCATGTCACAGTCCTAATGTTTAAAGGTAAAGATTTAGGGGATCCCAAAAAATCAAATAATATTGGAGCAAACCTCAAGCACTCCCCTTTTTCAAAACACTGGATACCATTTTAACACATCACCTCTATCACCTAACAGTAAGTGAATGAGTTTGGTTTTACATTTTAGCAATATTCCAGCAATATCACGCCGGGGGACACCAGAAATGGGTTTCACACATTGTACCCATGTGGGGAATCGAACCTGGGTCTTTGGCGTGACGAACAATGATTTTTCCACTTGGCTTCCCCACCACCCTCTGTAACATAACAGGAAAAGTGAGAAATTACTTACTTCATCCACAAACTCATCCACATTTGTGCCGCGTGGGTGTGTTGTGAGGAAAAGCTCGTTGTTGGGAGTTGCTTTGTTTAACACACCACCATAATGTGAGTTTCGAACTCCACTGACACTACGTGGTGTGCCAGGACCCATCTGTGATTCTGTGCGAGTCTCGTTCTTATTCTCCATACCACCATTCCACATTTCTCTAACTCCCGAGACACTACGTGGGGTGCCAGGACCCATCTGTGATTCTGTGAGTGTGTTGTTGTTTCGCCCCAAACCACCATTCCAGGAGTCTCGAACTCCCGAGACACTACGTGGGGTGCCCGGACCCATCTGTGATTCTGTGAGTGTGTTGGAGCGATCTGAAGTACTTGAAGACATGACATCAGAGACAGGATCTGTCAGGAGGGAGATGTGAGGGGCTCGTAGGCTGGTGTCTGGAGTCTGAAAAGTTAACATTTCTCAGGGTCAACTTCGGGTCATTTTTTACATGACATTTGCCAAATGTTTGTTGTTAGTATATATAGAAAGCTTACACTTTCAGAACCCTGAGGGGATCATAGATAAAGAAATAAACATTGTCACATCTTCCATTCATTGTTCAGATCCTCCCCTCTACCATTCAGACCATCCCCTCTGATGTTCAAACCTTCTCATCTACTGTTCAGACCATCCATTCTACTATTCAGACCATCCCCTTAATGGTTGTCCTTCACTGTGTCAGACCATCCCCTTTAATGTTCAGACCGTCCCTTCACTATTCAGCCCTTACCATTCAGTGTTCAGACCATCCACTCTACCATTCAGACCATCCATTCTACCATTCAGACGATCCACTCTACCATTCAGACCATCTGCTCTACCATTCAGACCATCCGCTCTACCATTCAGATCATCCACTCTACCATTCAGACCATCCACTCTACCATTCAGATCATCCACTCTACCATTCAGACCATCTGCTCTACCATTCAGACCATCCACTCTACCAATCAGATCATCAACTCTACCATTCAGACCATCCATTCTACCATTCAGACCATCCACTCTACCAATCAGACCATCCACTCTACCAATCAGATCATCCACTCTACCATTCAGACCATCCACTCTACCAATCAGATCATCCACTCTACCAATCAGATCATCCACTCAACCATTCAGACCATCCACTCAACCATTCAGACCATCCACTCTACCAATCAGATCATCCACTCTACCAATCAGATAATCCACTCTACCATTCAGATCATCCACTCTACCAATAAGATCATCTACTCTACCATTCAGACCATCCACTCTACCAATCAGATCATCCACTCTACCAATCAGATCATCCACTCTACCATTCAGGCCATCTGCTCTACCATTCAGACCATCTGCTCTACCATTCAGACCATCCACTCTACCAATCAAATCATCCACTCTACCAATAAGATCATCCACTCTACCATTCAGACCATCCACTCTACCATTCAGATCATCTGCTCTACCATTCAGACCATCTGCTCTACCATTCAGACCATCCACTCTACCAATCAGACCATCCACTCTACCAATCAGATCATCCACTCTACCAATCAGATCATCCACTCTACCATTCAGATCATCCACTCTACCAATCAGATCATCCACTCTACCATTCAGATCATCCACTCTACCAATCAGACCATCCACTCTACCATTCAGACCATCCACTCTACTGTTCAGATCATCCACTCTACCAATCAGATCATCCACTCTACCATTCAGACCATCCACTCTACCATTCAGACCATCCACTCTACTGTTCAGATCATCCACTCTACCATTCACATCATCCACTCTACCATTCAGATCATCCACTCTACCATTCAGACCATCCACTCTACTGTTCAGACCATCCACTCTACCATTCAGACCATCCGCTCTACTGTTCAGATCATCCACTCTACCATTCAGATCATCCACTCTACCAATCAGACCATCCACTCTACCAATCAGATCATCCTCTCTACCAATCAGATCATCCACTCTACCATTCAGACCATCCACTCTACCAATCAGACCATCCACTCTACCATCCCCTCTACCAATCAGACCATCCCCTCTACCAATCAGACCCTCCCCTCTACCAATCAGACCCTCCACTCTACCAATCAGACCATCAACTCTACATTCAGACCATCCATTCTACTATTCAGACCATCCACTCTACCATTCAGACCATCCACTCTACCATTCAGACCATCCACTCTACTGTTCAGATGACATGATGCTTACCTGAACAGACTGCTGATAAAGGTGCTCCCTTGCTTTAGAGGGGGTCCTACAGCTTGTGGGTCTATCTTTCTTAATCTGCTTAGGCTGCGGAATTTTACTTGTGTCAATTCTGAAACAAAACAAAACTGAATAAATAGGTGAGTTTGGTATTATCATGACAGGTGACGGGGCTTGACACAGGTATAAACTGAGGTATAAACTGATAAACCACATTTGATGCATCTACTACAAAACCAGTAACTAAATGTTTCTTCAATCAGACATTATTACAATGCATGTATCATTCTTGTAGTCTTTTAATAAGCTATTATTATAACATAAAGGTGTGGTGAGGGGAAATAGGGTTTCACATCAAGGTCAAGATTACTGCCCTATGTAGCCATGTGTGCGCATGTCTGTGTTTGTACTAGTCTGCACGAGTGCCAGTTTTAGAGTGCTCGTCCACTGAAATACCATGCTGCAGTGAAACATGAATACCCCACTCAGTCACAGCATACTGACTCTAGGTGACCAATCCTTAACGGTCTTAATACTGAGCGCCAGACAGGGTAACAACATGAGCCATCTTTGAACGTAGGTATGATGTGGTTGGGGAAGCACAGGCCTTCCACTCTCCACGGAGGTGGTACACGTGTAACAATAATCAGCATCAGTGTTGTAAGAACATGTAGCAAACTGGCTCCCAAAGCACATGAAGTAACAATTGTTGATATATCGTCTGCTAAGCTAGTCCCACTGCGCATGTCGGAAGTGGGGCTGCTGTGAAAATCTCGTGTTGTGAGAAAGGGAGTGAGCATGTGCCGGCTGGCGTGACAGGTTGTTTGTGTGTTAATGGTGTAAAGCTGAGGTAGAATAAGGTGAGGTGAGACGAAATGGGGTTTAACGACGTGTCAAAGATTATTGCACTCATATAGCGACGTGCATGTACGTGTATGTGTTTGTGTGGCTGCTTGTACTAGTCCGGACTGATGCCAATTTATAGTGCTAGCTCACTGAGATACCATGCCGCAGTTTAACATGAATACCCCACTCAGACACAGTATACTGACTCCGAGCCGACCAGTCCTTATTTAGCCCCTTAATGCCGAGCACCAGACAGGGTAACAACAAGTACCATCTTTTGGTATGACGCGACCGGGGATCGAACCCCGGACCTTCCGCTCTCCGGGCGGACGCTCTACCACTAGACCATGGAGGCGGTCCCTGAGGTAGAATAAAAGAAGTAAAGTGTCTACAGCGGTTGGTTTTGGTTATTGGACTGGCATTAACAACAATAGCAACAAAATAAGGCCACAAAGCAAAGAGTCAGATCTTGGCCACCTTGCAATAAGCGATCTCAGTGCTAAGATCACTGTTACTCCCATACTTAACACAGACTTATAGTAGTCTTACCGCTAAGATTGCTTTGTGAAAGTGAGCTCGGGTCAACCTCGCCAAGAGAAAGATCCAACAGAAAAGATAACCAAATATCTATATCCGTCTTCGATAGTCATGTATGTGACATTGCTTCATAAAGCTCTGGCAATACCACTGTACCTGTCAGAGAAGGGTTGTCTCCCCTGCATTGCCATCTTGGGAGCATACACAGGGCTGCCCTGGAAAAGTGTCTTGGCCACATTGCGCGCTGACTTGGTCACGGTGCTAGCAATGCAATCAGCAGCTTCTGGAGTCATCACTGAAGTTACAAACAGAATCACAAGCTAAGAATTCCTTTGTGATAACATGTAACTTCACAAACACATATCTTCATACTTATTCAAAACACACAAAAACGTTTCCATGCAGAATCAACAAGTTTTCCAAATCATCCTTTTCTTATCACATAAATGGCTCGGAAATGATCCATTCACCAAAATCTCAGCATTCTAAAATCTGTTTACAATGGACATAACATTATCATAATTCATACACAATGATAAATCTACATATATCCCATAAAGTAAATGTGTAGGAGTGATCAAAATCAAAATCATTCTCAAAGCATATAATCAATCTTTGAAATAATACAAAATACAAGGCTGCCATCAGGACCCACAAACTTAAGACTAAACTCTTCATGCCTTCATTAAAATACTGCAGCTTACTGTGACAAATAAATTGACACGTAAATTTACTACAGGCTATAAGGACCCATACAAATTTGAAACTACAGCCAGACACAAGCTCTGCCTGCCACGGGCCTACGTGCAGGTGCTTATTTCAAACACTGCATATCATCACTTTAAATATAGACAATGTATGTACACTTATGTAAGAGTTTGTTTGTTAACACCGCACACAGCAGTATTCCAGCTGTATGAAGGGGCCTGTAAATAGTCTGGACCAGACTTTTCAGTGATAATGTGAGCAACCCACGCCGTCAGGCTACAATGACACACTATTAACCAAGTCTGATCAAACAATCCTCTTATGACCAGCATCAGTTTCTGGCAATTAATTCAAACACAGAATCCCCACATGAAGAACTATACACAAAGTGTAAGGAAACTTCTAGTTCATGAGGCCTACATCCTCCACATCAACATGTAGTGAAGGCAATGCTATGTTTACCAGCATCGTGTTGTGGGGTGATGTGCAGAGCAGACTGTGGGGGGACAGGGTCCTCATCCTTGGGGGTGAAGGATAATGGGGGTGTTGATGAAAACAGACCAAGGCCAACCGACTGAAACAAGCAAGGTATTGTCATTATCATCTTCAGTTGTAATTCACAGGATGAAGATACCATCCTGACATGTCAAGAAAGAGTGAGAAAATAGTCAGACATAGCTGTCAGAATTTTGTTTGGCCATTATGATCACAGTAAGCAATATTTTGGTTAAATCTAGGTAGCCTGTAAATAATAACCACAACATGATTAGCATGATTAAACGTCCCAAGCCATATAGGTAAAAATAGAAACAGCCAAATCAAAGAGCCTGACCACCCAATCCCCACTTTAGTCGGCTTTTACAACAAATATGAAAGAAGCTGGAAACTTTGTTCAAGCATGTTTCCACACAGGATTGAACATCTTCCCGAGGCAAGAGAGTTCACTGTCTTTAAAAGTCCAGTTTCCACCCTTGCCTAACTAGGCTGGAATTCCTGGGCTCGACTGTAGCACCACCAGTAGCTATTACGAGTTATGTCCCTTCTATGCCTCTCCGATGGACCAATCAGATTCAACCCCTCGTATCACTTGCATTTGCTTCAAACAAAATGTCGGCGCCCAGTCAAGACGATCTGATCGATAATCAAGATCTATATTGTGATAAAACGGAAATTACATCGCGAAGTGCATCAAATCACGTGAGCACCTTGATTAAAAACATAAAAAGATTTGGAAAATATCTGTTGACACCGAGTTGGTGGTGCACATGCTTTGCAAATTCTGCAATCGACCGAAATCTGCATGACAGTTTACGAACTGGATTTCGATTTCATTGGTTGGACTATGCATAGACTCGTCAGTTCAGCCAAAATCTAACTTCATAATACCAGCCTAGTTCGGCAAGGGTGGAAACTGGACTTTTATAGTCAGTCAACTCTCTTGCCTCGGGAAGCTGAGGATCAAAAGAAGGGGGAAGAAATGCAAAGTATAAGATAGGAAAAGTTCCTAAGCGTGGCTCACTAATACCCCCGACCAGCCTAGTATGTCAGTAGTTTCAAATTAAATAGCTATGATAGGGTTAGGGTTTGAAAAATTCATAAAAAAATGGAAAATTAATAAAAACAATTTTTTTCTTTTGACTGCACCCCTCCATATGACACAGATTATATGTACTAAGTTTGAGATGAATCCACTGAATAGTTTAAGAGAAATCGTGCGGACAAAGTTTTCGGACGGACGGACTGACGGGCGGAACCTTGGTATAACTATATACCCCCGACCTTAAAATACTGGGGACCTATTAGAAAACTTATCAAGACTAGTGGAAACCTTATTTAACTAGTCCACAGAATTTGTAGCTTGTCCTGCTTGAAGGGACAAAAAAAAACCTCAATGTTTACAGTCAGTTCTATTCCTTTCCAATTTGTAGCAAGATTGAAGCATTGAGAACTGGTTCAGAAGTTTGGTCCTCAAATGCTGCTCGTCAATGAGAACGACCATCATTGGATTATTTCATGTCTTCAGCATTATTAACCGGTAGTATTATCAATCTAGTGGACTAGCCTGAATTTCAAAGAATGCATGTGTGATTACCTTGGTGCGTCCTGACTGTGGTGTATCTGTCAGGTAACTGGTGTCTGCCTCAAGCTTCTCACGGAGACGAGAGACAGATTGCTTCAGGAGTGGCAAAAAATCTTCAGATAACATTTTCCTGTAATAGAAGAAGCATGTTGCACCTTTTATTACGTTATTAAGCTCTTCCATCCCACTGATTAAGCTAAAATTTCAGAAAGTCAAAAAAAAAGGGGCTTGTTGAGGTAAATCATTTTTTGCTGTCATAGCTGTTGCCCTTTTTCATACCCTACAGTGTCTTTGTACATTTTCACAGTCCTTGTTTACCCCCTTTTTGGTATGAGCGTCCAAGATTGAACCACCGACCTTCCACTCCCCCGGCTGATGCTCAGTCTAATACACCACAGTGTCAACCTATATCAACAAAAGGTTGCCACTAACGTGACTATATCCCCCGCCCCTGTTGCAGAATTTATGACATAATTAAATCTAAACAAACCCTTATCTTTTTTAACCGAGGTGGAACTTGTCATGGAAATTGTAAAAAAAAAATTCTAAAATTTCTAAATAGCAAAAGGCACCAGTTCAGCATGTACCTGACAGACCTGCACAGTTTTATGAGTTATGTTGGGAAACAAAACTTGACGGACGGACGTACGGAGGGACGGACGCAGCCCGTTTCTATATCCCCCACCAGCTTTGTTGGGCGGGGGATGATAAAGCCTCTCTGGGCAAGAGAATTCTACTTACTGGAAGGCATTAGCGTTGGCAGTTTGGGCCTGATGGGTGTGGACTGCAGCTGTCAAGTGACTGGATTCCGTCTCTAAACTAGGAACACCCACTGCAACAGCAAATAAAAAAATAAAAGAATGATTCAATCTTCTCCCCAGAGCAAATTCCACATGGCCATACATATTGTCATACAACATAAAATCTAAAGACATCAACACCAGTCTTTTTAATCACTGTTAACAATGTTTAATAGCATCTACATCTACACTAAAATTAAAGGCAAAATCTGACTTCCAAAAAAACTATATTATTCAGGCTCATTCATATAAAGCAAACAAGAGTCATCAGAAAGATGACATATCCCCCCGGCAGCTGTCTGTAAAGTAACCACTAGTAAATGTGCAATTCTCTATGAAATGAGTCAACAGTTGAATGTTCTTTAAGAAGCATACATTGTTTACCCACTGAATGGTTTTCGAATTCTGGCCTGGAAACGAACCCGTTTACCAATGGAGTCTAGGTCCAACTTCTTTCCATAAAAATTGTAAAAAATAAATATCTTTTTTATCAAAAGGCACCACTTCAGTATGTGCCAGATAGCTTTGCCAAGTTTCAATCAAATACACTGAATGGTTTTGGAATTCTGCCCCGGAAACGAACCCCATCCCCAATTGAGTCTATGTCCAACTTCATTCCATACAAATTTAAAAAAAATCAAAATTAGAAAAATCCCCAAATATCAAAATGTACCACTTCAGTATGTGCCTGATAGCTTTGCCAAGTTTCAATCAAATACACTGAATGGTTTTGGAATTCTGCCCCGGAAACTAACCCCATCCCCAATTGAGTCTATGTCCAACTTCATTCCATAAAATTTAAAAAAAATCAAAATTAGAAAAATCCCCAAATATCAAAATGCACCACTTCAGTATGTGCCTGATAGCTTTGCCAAGTTTCAATCAAATACACTGAATGGTTTTGGAATTCTGCCCCAGAAACAAACCCCATCCCCAATTGAGTCTATGTCCAACTTCATTCCATAAAAATTTAAAAAAATCAAAATTAAAAAAATCCCAAAATATCAAAAGGCACCACTCTGATAGCTTTGCCAAGTTTAAATCAAATACACTGAATGGTTTTGGAATTCTGCCCCGGAAAAGGAAATGATTACAGACGGACAGACGGACGGACGGACAGACTGGCTGATCGCTATATCCCCCTGCATTATATGCCGGGGGGATAATAAAATGAGTGAATGAATGAGTGAGTTTATCCTGAATATATTGCACCATATCATGGCAAATCTTTTGTGTTCATTCCCATCAGGGAATTCAAATAAGAAAAAGTATATAATCTCAACCTCAACTCTTTAGTTTTGCACTACATCACTGGAAATGCTAACTCAACCACTGCTGTAACTGAAGGAAAAGATTGTACCTGAGGAAGGCTGGCAGGCCAAAGGCTTGACATGATTGAGATTACATATATTTATTCATATGATGGAGACTGTGAGTAATTATGCCTGGGTCAGACAAACCAGTGGTTGATAGCATGAACAACGATCCATTCTAACAGGGTATGACATACAGACAGATCACATATTGTAACCACTAGATACTCAATTAAGTCAGCTCTAACAACAAGCAGTAGGTACTAGGGACCTTTACTGCCTAAGAAATCCCATGGGGGTTGCATGTGAGGGATGCATGTGAGGGTTGCATGTGAGAGCTGCATGTGAGAGCTGCATTTGGGGGTTGCATGTGGAAGCTGCATGTGGGAGTTGCATTTGGGGTTGCATGTGGGGTTTGCATGTTGGGGTTGTATGGGGGGGTTGCATTTGGGGTTGCATGTGGGGGTTGCATGTGAGGGTTGCATGTTGGGGTTGCATGTTGGGGTTGCATGTTGGGGTTGCATGCTGGGGATGCATGTTGGGGTTGCATGTTGGGATTGCATGTTGGGATTACATGTTGGGGTTGCATGTGAGGGTTGCATGTTGGGGTTGCATGTGGGAGTTGCATGTGGGAGTTGCATGTGAGGGTTGCATGTGGGAGTTACATGTGGGAGTTGCATGTGAGGGTTGCATGTGGGAGTTGCATGTGGGGGTTGCACGTGGGGTTGCATTTGGGGTTGCATGTTGGGGTTGCATGTTGGGATTGTATGTGAGGGTTGCATGTGAGGGTTGCATGTGGGAGTTGCATGTGGGAGTTGCATGTGAGAGTTGCATGTGAGGGTTGCATGTGGGAGTTGCATGTTGGGGTTGCATGTGGGGGTTGCATGTGAGGGTTGCATGTGGGAGTTGCATGTGGGAGTTGCATGTGGGAGTTGCATGTGGGAGTTGCATGTGAGAGTTGCATGTGAGGGTTGCATGTGGGAGTTGCATGTTGGGGTTGCATGTGGGGGTTGCATGTGGGGGTTGCAAATGAAGCATGAAACAGTCCTTTTTCACTTTGTAGAACTGGAAGTGTATCCTCACCTTGATGAAATCTCTCTATGTAGAGATGCAGGGAGAGGTTCCACAGCTGTATGAGGCTGAGGAGATTGAGACGACCTCCCTGGTAGGTATTATCAACATGGCGCTGAAACGACCAGGTATCAGTCAGTGAGTAGTGGGTTAGCATGAAAACAGATTATTAGTCACTAGTTTTTTTAAATGATAGGACATTTCCAATCCATTTCCAATCAGATCTTTTACTCCGATACCATACCTCTCTGCATGAAGATCTGAGAACAACTTCTAACTAGCTGATTAACATTGAGGCTTCTAAATTCTCACTACGTATAGGCTATGTATTCAGAAGAGCAAGCATATCTGATTTCTGGATCTTGAAAACAAAAATAATATTTTGAAGCCGGGTCCGAGGGTCCTTGTTTTCGCATATTGACCTCGTCAAGAGTTAGCAATTGTTTTCTTTTACCGAAATTAACTTCAAAGTTTTTAAAACCTTTAAACCATCCTCTGTTTCATTACAATAATTTAGCTCCGAACTGTAAAATGTTGGTATACTAGACGCCATCTTGTTTTCTAGCAGACGAGTCAATATTCATCACGTGACAGGTCAATACTGATCATGTGACGAGCATGACAACACATTTTATTGACTAAAGCGAAAAGTAAGAACACGCATGTCGTTCACAGGCAACCATTACCACAACATAGTAAATGTACAATGTTCTACATACCTTCAAGATTTCATTTTCACACTCCCTCAACAGGAGATCCGGCACCTTGACACTGATATCTGCAGCATCAATATGATATTTCTGCACAGTTCGGTCCAGGATTGACTCAATCACCTGCCGTTCTCGAGTCTCAAAGTTACAAAATGCCTCCAATTTCTTCCACTTATCTCGTGCCTGAAAAGGAGTGAAGTATAAGACATAAGCTTTTCCCTTGATTCAAAATGTTTACAACAATAGCATTGGTTTCAGTGGAGGGTAAACTAATAATTCAAAGATCTGAACTTGAACATATACTTCTAATCATTCTTAACCGGATTTCTGTGGTGGCTAAGATTAAGTCTTGTTTAGACAGCAATCCGATGAGACAGAAATCAGATTCTGGCAGGTGTTAAGTCCCCTACTGTGTCACACGATATGAAGTCTCAAGGTTGAAGACACATGAACAACTTATGTGTGACTCAATTGACTCCGCTGTAGGATAGTACGCTATATTATCGGGGTACTTAATTTATAATGTATCATAATGGTGCACGCTTACCAACCAATTAAAGCTGGCATTAAAATTGATACATCAATTAGGATTATGATGCTGATTTTCTTCAGTGAGTTCGATAAACAAAGTACCCGTCATTAGCGACTCAAGGGCAGGCAACTCTCTATTATTGCGGTATGGCTATTTTATTGAATGATATGTGTGGAATATGTGCTTTACATCACTTCCTGTTTGGGATTATGCATAATGAGTATGCATACGACCTAGGTTGTGTCAAGGGACTTTGTCAAAACAAATGGGTTCTTTTCTAATTAATTTCGAATGGTGGTGGGGGTAATTCCACTTCAAAAACTTTCCAGAAACTATCATAAACATAAAACGTCTATACTTACAAGTAGATGTGACATATTGTCCTGTATTCGATCAAACGATGAAATATCGTGCTAAGATTTGCAAAAATAAACAGTTGACAGGGGGTGTGGATTACAAAATTTACCTATACCATGATAATATAGAGCCTGTGATAATATAGTCATACTATAATCGCTGAGAGACATATATTTATTCCATCATCAAAGCTACAATATTGCCAATTGTGAAAAGTTAATCTGGCTTAGGGAGTCCCAATTAAATGATTCATTTGTCCCACAGAATCAGTCTGGAATCCGAAATGAAGGAAGTCAGATTTAACCGATTTTTCTTGATGATAAATAACAAATTAAATTCTGGATTGTATGTAAGGTCAGGCTTTGACAGAAATCTGGATGAGTCCGGTTAAGACTGATTTCACTGTACTTTCAATACTGATCGAACAAAGCAGGTACCGTATTCGATGTAATAAGCGCCCAGGGCGCTCTCAAAATTAGAAATAGGGGGCCCTTATTAGAATATTATTTTGGTGGACAAAACAGAGTTGAAAGATAAATTTCGTGGTTTATGCTGACAGCCTGAAATGTTTATATACGACAGATATATTTCTCCAGAATCTAATTGCCCATAATTAAGGGTGCATATAACACACTAGTGCGTATTATACACGAATAAATAAGTCTTGTGTACATTGATCAATCGGAAGGGGTGCTAATTGGGATTGTTCACTAGCCAATATGTTAGCAATTATCACCGGGGCGCTTATAAGAGGGGGGCGCTTATTACGCCAAATACGGTAAGTTGGATTTAATGCACATTTAGCAATAAACAGTCACCAGTAAGCATTTGGAGCACTTGTCAATTAATTGCCTCACAAATTTTTAGGACACCAAAAGCATAAGACTCACTTCAAGGTATCGACTCTAGGTTTACACAAATTATATTCACATGAGGCAGATCATCAATAATTCCTTTCTGTTTGTTTGTTTTTCTCTAAATAATTTGTTTGTTTATTGCTTAACGCCACACTCAGCAATGTCCCAGCTATATGACAGCGGTCTGTAAATAATCGAGTCTGGACCAGACAATCCAGTGATTGACATCATGAGCATCGATCCACGCAATTGGGATACGATGACATGAATCAACCAAGTCAGCAAGCCTTACCACCCGATCCCGTTAGTTGCCTCTTATGACAAGCAAAGTCGCCTTTTACGGCAAGCATGGGTTGCTGAAGACCTATTCTACCACAGATCTTCACAGGTATTCTAAATAAGGACAAGCTCCTTAAAAATCAGCATCTAATGTACGTGAATAAGCTGCTTCACCATCAGGCAAAGTTACGAGTCAGCTAACCTACCTTTTGTACTCTCTGGGCTCTTCTTATGACGTGTGGAGTGTGATCATGCTCCGAGGTGAAGGATTTTCTCTTGGAAGGCATTGGACTGAAACAGAAATGACACCAGGTGCACTCCAGCCGCAGAACAAGCATACATCTTTAAATCTAAAGTAAAGCAAGTTTAACACAGTCGCTGCCAGTCAGATAGATGTGCCTGAGAGCATTGTTACAACCACGGGTTTCCACCCACGGCTAATTAATTATGAATAGGATTTTATATGAAAACTTCATATAATATATATTCAGATACACATGTTATTTCTACTTTGAGCTACATGAGATCATTTCAAAATTAAGTGTTCTGACATACCTGCCGCGAGCCAGGCCCTTCTCATGTGCCCTCTGTGTCTCCTCCCTCAACTGATGCTCCAGTTCTCGGATACTCTTGGACAGGCGGCGGTTCTCCCTCACAAGCTCACTGCAGGATAGTGTGAGGCCATATAATGCTGCACTGTTGTTTGACAGGTGTGGGTCAACTGTCACTCTAAACTGACCTAGTTGTCCCTCTCTCTCAACAAGCTGTCTCTCTCTACTCATCACCCATCTAGCTTCTCTCGCCACTCTCTCTACTCATCAAGCTGTCCCACTCACTAAGTTGTCTCATTCCATTCACCTAGCTATTTCTCTCCACTCATCCAGCTATCTCTCTCCACTCATCACTGTTCTAGCTGTCTCTCTTTCCACTCATCCAGCTATCTCTCTCCAGTCATCACTGTTCCAGCTGTCTCTCCTTCCACTCACCTAGCTATTTCTCTCCACTCATCCAGCTATCTCTCTCCACTCATCCAGCTATCTCTCTCCACTCATCACTGTTCTAGCTGTCTCTCTTTCCACTCATCCAGCTATCTCTCTCCACTCATCACTGTTCTAGCTGTCTCTCTTTCCACTCATCCAGCTATCTCTCTCCACTCATCACTGTTCTAGCTGTCTCTCTTTCCACTAACCTAGCTATTTCTCTCCACTCATCCAGCTATCTCTCTCCAATCATCCAGCTATCTCTCTCCAATCATCACTGTTCTAGCTGTCTCTCTTTCCACTCACCTAGCTATTTCTCTCCACTCATGCAGCTATCACTCTCCAATCATCCAGCTATCTCTCTCCAATCATCACTGTTCTAGCTGTCTCTCCTTCCACTCACCTAGCTATTTCTCTCCACTCATCCAGCTATCTCTCTCCAATCATCACTGTTCTAGCTGTCTCTCTTTCCACTCACCTAGCTATTTCTCTCCAATCATCCAGCTATCTCTCTCCAATCATCACTGTTCTAGCTGTCTCTCTTTCCACTCACCTAGCTATTTCTCTCCACTCATCCAGCTATCTCTCTCCAATCATCCAGCTATCTCTCTCCAATCATCACTGTTCTAGCTGTCTCTCTTTCCACTCACCTAGCTATTTCTCTCCACTCATCCAGCTATCTCTCTCCAATCATCCAGCTATCTCTCTCCAATCATCACTGTTCTAGCTGTCTCTCTTTCCACTCACCTAGCTATTTCTCTCCACTCATCCAGCTATCTCTCTCCACTCATCACTGTTCTAGCTGTCTCTCTTTCCACTCACCTAGCTATTTCTCTCCACTCATCCAGCTATTTCTCTCCAATCATCACTGTTCTAGCTGTCTCTCTCTCCACTCACCTAGCTATTTCTCTCCACTCTTCACTGTAAAAGCTGTCCCTCTCTTTCCACTGATCACTAGTTTAGCTTTCTTTCTCTCCACTCATCACTAGTCTCTCTCTCTCTCTCTCTCCAGCCATCAAGCTATCTCTTTCCACACATCACTATTCTAGCTGTGTCTATCTCCATTCATCACTGTTCTAGCTGTCTCTCTTTCCACTCACCTAGCTATTTCTCTCCACTCTTCACTGTAAAAGCTGTCCCTCTCTTTCCACTGATCACTAGTTTAGCTTTCTTTCTCTCCACTCATCACTAGTCTCGCTCTCTCTCTCTCCACCCATCAAGATATCTCTTTCCACACATCACTATTCTAGCTGTGTCTATCTTCATTCATCACTGTTCTAGCTGTCTCTCTCTCTCCACTCATCACTATTCTAACTCTCTTTCTCTCCACTCATCCAGTTATCTCTTTCCACTCATCACAATTCTAGCTGTCTCTCTCTCTCCACTCATCACTATTCTAACTCTCTTTCTCTCCACTCATCCAGTTATCTCTTTCCACTCATCACAATTCTAGCTCTCTCTCTCTCCTCATCACTATTCTTACTCTCTTTCTCTCCACTCATCCAGCTATCTCTTTCCACTCATCACTATTCTAGCTGTCTCTCTCTCCACTCACCTGGCTGTTTCTCTCCACTCATCTCTTTCCACTAATCACTATTCTAGCTGTCTCTCTCTCCACTAATCACTATTCTAGCTGTCTCTCTCTCTCCACTCACCTGGCTGTTTCTCTCCACTCATCACTGACAGAGATGGTTCTCTCCACCTGTTCTAGGAACTTCTCTCTCCGCTGCACGACCCCACACTGCATCATGCGGTACATGACATCACTCAGATGCTTGTTGTGGGAGGATAACTGAGGACAGGTCAGCTTGTCCCGCTGCTTCACGTCTGAAGAAACAATGGATGACATGATGAAGGACACATGAGTTATTTAGCCAATCAGATGACCCACTGAGATACCATCCCGCAGTTTAACATGGATACCCCACTGAGACTGACTCCCAAGCTGACCAGCCCATGTTTACTCCCCTTATATAAAGCCAAATGCCAGGCAGGGTAACAACAGGTATCGAAACACCACCCTTCCACTCTCCAGGTATAGTCATTTGGATATGGATGCAACTTACCACAGTCCCGCTTGATGACCTGCTGCATGACATAGCTGGTGAAACTGAAGAGCAGCTGATAGAACCTTTCTCCTCCGGGAGACATAAACAGGGATGCATTGATGCGGGGCAGGCGAGAGTCGGGCTCCTCCTGATCAAAGACACAAGCGGAGGACATGTTATATTTCAGTGTATTATACAGCAGCCACAACAACCACATATCCTTAGAGAACCCAATGTGTGTTTTCATTGTGAGGGTGGACAGGGTGCAATTGCTGAAGTATAGTCGAACGGAGCCAAAAGAAGACAGGTATGGGAGGCTTTTGTTGTGGCTTCCGTAGAAAGTGGGATGAAGAGTCTCTTGTGGGTGCCGAAGTGGCTGCCCAGTCTCGAGGTAGATGTGGAGCACTCGAACTGTACATGACTTCATGGTCATCTGGGTCGAGGATGGACACCAACAACTGGATGGTGAGATGGAATCAGTTTACCGAAAGCTTCATTTGTTTAAGTCAGAGACAGAGCACTTGGTGTGTAAATGCCAGTGCCCTGATTTGGTCTGGATTGTTTGCTAATGATTGATCCAATCCAGCTTCCAGCTGGCCTCCAAAATTGTTGCCCTTGGCCAGAAGCAATTAGCATTCCTATATACCTGCATCTATCTTGTTGGTAAGTAAGGTCACAAGGACAGATATTCTTCACTCTAGAACACAGGATCAAAGAGAGGGAGGGGTTTGGGTGGTGGGTGCAAAAAGAGTTTTAAAAAACAAACAAACAAACTTTCGGCAATGTCACCCGTCTCAGACTCTAAAAGTTGTGAGAAAGCATGAATCCCAGGAAGACTTCTATAGGCTCGGTATCGCCTTGTTGAAAGGATATATCATGACGTAGGCCAGAGTAAGTTTGGTCTTCAGAATGCCCACCATGCTTTTCTCCAGGTGGACAATCATCAAAACACATACTGAGAACCATGTGTGACCACCCAGTACCAATGGGACCAACTATCCTGGTAGTTTTAGCTGTAAATAAACACTCTGGAACCAGTTTCACAAAGCAAGGTTACAGTTACCGCCATTGTGATTCCTTGACTTATGACAGTCATAGCGCTATGATTGCTTTGTGAAACAGGTCTCTGATCTGCATGTTGTCGTTCCAATGATCATACTTAGTCACAAGAGAATTTTTTTTGCAATTATTTGTTATTTTCACAGGAGCTGTCATTACTGCATAGCATGTAATCCAGAAAGCATGGAATCAAGTATCCATGTAAATATGCTACCATGGAATCAGGTAACCATGGAATCAGGTAACCATGGAATCAAGTAACCATGTAAATATGCTACCATGGAATCAAGTAACCATGAATTCAAGTAACCATGTAAATATGCTACCATGGAATCAAGTAACCCCGGAATCAAGTAACCATGGAATCAAGTAACCATGTAAATATGCTACCATGGAATCAAGTAACCCCGGAATTAAGTAACCACGGAATCAAGTAACCATGTAAATATGCTACATGGAATCAAGTAACCATGTAAATATGCTACCATGGAATCAAGTAACCATGTAAATATGCTACCATGGAATCAAGTAACCATGTAATCAAGTAACCATGTAAATATGCTACCATGGAATCAAGTAACCATGTAATCAAGTAACCATGTAAATATGCTACCATGGAATCAAGTAACCATGTAATCAAGCAACCATGTAAATATGCTACCATGGAATCAAGTAACCATGTAAATATGCTACCATGGAATCAAGTAACCATGGAATCAAGTAACCATGTAAATATGCTACCATGGAATCAAGTAACCATGTAATCAAATAACCATGTAAATATGCTACAATGGAATCAAGTAACCATGTAATCAAGCAACCATGTAAATATGCTACCATGGAATCAAGTAACCATGTAAATATGCTACCATGGAATCGAGTAACCATGGAATCAAGTAACCATGTAAATATGCTACCATGGAATCAAGTAACCATGTAATCAAGTAACCATGTAAATATGCTACCATGGAATCAAGTAACCATGTAATCAAGCAACCATGTAAATATGCTACCATGGAATCAAGTAACCACGTAATCAAGCAACCATGCAAATATGCTACCATGGAATCAAGTAACCATGTAAATATGCTACCATGGAATCGAGTAACCATGGAATCAAGTAACCATGTAAATATGCTACCATGGAATCAAGTAACCATGTAATCAAGTAACCATGTAAATATGCTACCATGGAATCAAGTAACCATGTAATCAAGTAACCATGTAAATATGCTACAATGGAATCAAGTAACCATGGAATCAAGTAACCATGTAAATATGCTACCATGGAATCAAGTAACCATGTAATCAAGCAACCATGTATAAATGCTACCATGGAATCAAGTAACCATGTAAATATGCTACCATGTAATGCTGTAACCATGGAATCAAGTAACCATGTAAATATGCTACCATGTAATCCAGTAAGGGCTTTACATACCTTTTGAATATTTTTCAGCCACTTGTTACACACTCTGTAGAACATTGCTTCAGTCTTCTTGTCACTGACACGCCAGCAATCTCTGGAACATACATCATTGCATTACGATATGACATACCCATGTAAACTGATCACTGACACATACATATACAACTGTTTTCATTAGCAATCTTGCATGTGCTAGCAATATATTTCAATCTCTTGAATACAAAAAGGGACGTAATTCTGGATATGTAAACCAAGACACAAGAAAACAAAACGAATTGTCAACAGACTATATCACTACAAGACAACTTGTCTGTCAAACAAACTTTTATTGAATAGAAACTAAGTTTTATAATGACCCTATTGATCACATTATAGCAGATAGACAAATGTGTCAAAAGGTTGACAACATATAGATAAGTCTCTACATGGATATTTTCAGAACTATAAGTGTTAGGAGGATTTTACACTGCTTAAGGCAATATTCTAGACATATCATAGGGGGAATACCAGAAATGGGGTTCACAAATTATACCCAAGTGGGGAATGAAACCAGGTCTTTGGCATAATGTTTGTTTTATTTGTTTGTTTGTTGTTTAATACCGCACTCAGCCATATTCCAGCTACATGACAGCGGTTTGTAAATAACTGAGTCTGGACCAGACAATCAAGTGATCATGAGCATCGGTCCAAGCTATTGGGATATGATGACATGCATCACCTAAGTCAGAGAGCCTGACCACCCGGTCCCGTTAGTCGCCTCTTACGACAAGCATAGTCGCCTTTTATGGCTTGCATGGGTTGCTGAAGACCAATTCTACCCCGTATCTTCACTGGTCCTTTGGCATGATGGCCCAACACAGTAACCACCTCACTCAGCTTGATAATGTGTAAGAATCTACATCAAAACAAACAAGAAAGCCCACACTAAAGATGGCTTCCTGTGGCTGTCATTACCTGAACTCTTCCTTACACATGACAGGGTTGAGCCTATCAAACAGGAAGTGTAAGATAGCTTCCGCACCAGCCTTGTTTGGTAAGTTGAACATGTCCCTTTTCAAAGAATAATAAACACATTAAATATATCAAATAATATAATGATGTTCAAATAAATATTACACTGTTTATCATGCTAATCTACATCATTATGATGCATCACGACATTAACATACATGGATGCATGATAAAATAATATGTGGCCAAGATATCTAATTTGACTCGATATCAAATATTCAACGGACATTCATGGTCAGACATAACCTTTGATGGTGCCCTTCTAAAGGCAGTGTTCAAAATCAAGAGACGGCTGGGTTGGTTTGTTGGTTTGTTGTTTAACGCCTCACTCAGCAATATTCCAGCTATATGACGGCGGTCTGTAAATAATCCAGTCTGGACCAGACAATCCAGTGATTGATATCATGAGCATCGATCCTCGCAATTGGGATACAATGACATGCATCAACCAAGTAAGCGAGCCTGACCACCCGTTAGTCGCCTTTTACGACAAGCATAGTCACCTTTTACGGCAAGCATGGGTTGCTGAAGACCTATTCTACCCCGGAATCTTCACCGGTAGAGACGGCTGGGTCTTAATGGCGCTCAGCATTAAGGGATAAAACAAGGACTGGTTAGCTCTGAGTCAGCATACAGTGTCCAAGTAGGGTATCCACCTTAAAGTGTGGCAGGGTTAGCGCTATAAACATGGCATGAAGCACACACATCGCTATGCAATAATCTTGAATGCGACGTTAAACCCCAGTTCACCTCACTTCAAAAACCGAAATGTCAGGTGGTATCTATCTGGTAAATTTTCGGGTTACAGGTATTGCGAGGTAAAACTGTACTGCATTACATATAGCATTATGTCATGAGTGACATAGAGAGTGAATGAATTGAGAGGTTTGGAAACTAGATGACATGTCCATGAGATGTATGATATGAGCATAAATAAAATCTGCTTTATCACTGATAGTTCAGTAAATATATTACATAAGTAAATCAGCCATAGTAGCGTTAACACTGGTTATCACATGGTTATGTTTGATTATTCCACTGATTTTACCTAGAAACATGTGTATATTATTTTGTGAAACTAATGCATGTATTTAGTGAATTGGTGCATTAATATACATGGAAAGGGTTTCACCTTGACCTACAACACTAGGTGTCCAGAGAATGAACACCCCCCTACCCCACACACACAGACAGAGCCTTCATGCTATACATTTGTGTGTAAAGGACGTACATTTCTGCGTCATATAAATAACCCTGCATGTATCATTACTTCCTTGCTAAGATTTGAACTAATGAATGAGGACATGAGGCACTCACTTGTTGAAAGGAATGCTGTAAGTCCTCTGCTGTGTTGGAACATCAAGTCCGAGTAGCAGCCAGTTCGTAAAGAGAATTTGTCGCTTGCTCAGTGGGCCACTTGAATCAACTGATGGTGGAGCAGCCTGACGCATCAAAACTGATGTGTCAAACTCCATCTCTGAAACAGTTACAGAGTGTTGATCAAAAGTAATGAATATGTTTAAGTTTGTTGTTTAACGCAGTACTCAGCAATATTCTAGCTATATGACAGCGACCAAACTATCCAATGATTGACCTCATGACAATAAAACTATGCAATTGGGATACAATGACATGCATCAACCAAGTCAGCAAGTATGACTACCTTATCTCATTATTCACCTTTTTTAAAAAAAAAACAAGGGTTCCTGAAGACCAATTCCAAACCAGATCTACATGGGATTAATTTGTTTAATAAACCAAGGATAGAAATTAGCATCAGCCTGCCAGTCCTCGCCAGTTTCGCTTATGTTAAAGGTATGCATGCTAAGGGCTGGTAGCATTTTGAACATTTTGGGGATGTTCCTATATGTTATCACTATTTGGGCTAGTAGACTTTCCAGGTGAATTCTATCCCTGATTCAGGGATTTCTAGAGGCTAAAGGACCCGTGAAGACCCGGGGTAGAATAGGTCAACAAATCAGGACCCGATTGTTAACCTTATGCGTAGGCACAGTAGCCATTTTCTACACAAAAGAACACTCATATGCATTAATCAATAGGTTAAAAGAGATGGCTAACCCATTCCCTACCTCACAAACTAACCCTAAGGATAAAAAAAGGGTGTCTGATTGGCAAGTTTTGCCCACCCTCAGGATCACGTAGGGGTGTTTGATCGGAAATATGTGCTTGATCAGAAAGGGGTCCAAGGGCTAAGGAGAGTTTGGGGTAACCTACTCTGACCCTAAAGAGTCTTACCGGATCTGTGAGACTTGAAACCTGAACAAATTAGCGCTATAGTAAGCTGCAACAATAAACTGCATGACCAACATGTGATAGGAGAGTTCAACAGTGTTAGGTGTAGCTTATACTATTACTACTGACTTTGACTATTGTCATATGATGTTGATCCTAGGAAAATTTGTCAGTAGCACAAACGCATGTGATGACCTCACTGGGATCATGCAACCTCCTTCAAAATATTGTGACAGGGCAGCGCATTGAAAACACCTTATATGTATAAATGGAAATGAAAAGTTTACCCACAAAATGCACTTTGATGTCAATGGTTACTTTGTGCCAAATTGGAAATGCTGTTAACTGTATCATGACAAAATTCTTTCCGTCACTAATTGAATTTAACTGAACAAGCTATGTGAGAGGCTAGATGAAGAAACGTATCCCTCTATTATGGGTTTTCGGATGCTTAAGAAACATTATAGCTTCCCTCTTATCAAATGTACAACTGTAAAACACCTCATACACTTATAAAAGGGTTACAGCTAAAACATCACCTCCGCGAAAAGTCACCGAGCGAAAAAGGGCACCAATTGGCACAAAGGTCACTTTGCCTAAAGCAAAAACGGTTACTACTGCCAGGCAAAGACGGCACCATATTTCTTTTTTACCTTGGTACTGAAATAAATGAAATCAAACTCACATGGTCACTTGCAAACACCAATAATTGTGAAATGTTAAAACAAGGTTATATTAGAAATTAGCCTCTACTCCAATTTACTTGCAGACTCTGATTGGGAGGCTCAACTAAACATATTGTGAAAACATCCCTTGCTTTGAAATTTTAAGTATCTTTACTCAAATTAACTCTGTGTCAAGCTGAAACTGTATTTAAAAGGCCTAATATGGTGCTGTCAGATCACAGTTGGTGTGGTCATACAGTTGGATGACACCTCTAAGGAAGGGAAACATCGCCACTACTACAACATAATATAATAGGGCATGTAAATAAAGCTTATTTACAACTACATAAATAATTCTTATCGTTATTAAAAATAGAGGTGCTGTATTTGCCCGATAAATAGTTGCCGTTTTCACCAAATGAGGTGCTGTTCAGCGTTAGAAACTAACAGTTTTCATCCACTAGTCCTTATAATGATAACATATAGCAAAACTCTTAAAAATGGCAATTTTCTACTAGTCCTTGTGATACCTTTACCATTTGGCAGTTTGGTAAGGACTATAGGACTAGTACCATTTTCTAACCCTGCTGTTTTCGCCCAAGAAATCGGTGACGTTTTGCTGAAGTGCCGTTTTACCCCGCACCCATTATAAAAGACAAGTTTCTCTTAAAAACAAGCCACCATCTGAGTATTGACAATGTCTGGATGATGCTCCAGCACCCCCACCCCCGCTATAGCGTGAGTTATCGCGATAAAAAAAGGTCGTCCGAAAACGTATGATGTCCGAAGACGTATGATTCGACTATTTGTTTACTAACATTACATAAATGATTCCTGGCTGTAATAAATTACGATGTCTTTGATGTTGACAGCGATGGAATCCATACCAACAAGTTAGAGTGACAAATCATGACAATGTAATGTAACTAACTTGAGGTTTTAAAATATCATTGTGCTTATACATTTGCTATAACAATGCCATATTTATTAATGACAAGCATGGACATGCATATATGCGGGAAAAACATACCGGTTGTGTTTATGGTGCAACGCTAACGTCGATCACATCGAAATTGATTAAACAAGCACTTCGTTAACAAACCAGTCATGTAAAACAAACTATATCCGAACCATCAACCAAAATAGCAACGGAAACACATAACAGTGATGGTTTGAACAACAAATTTGACATTTGCTTCGAAGTAGCCGCCAAAGGTAACCGGAAGTGCTAATTTTTAGAAATAAGATTACCATAAGTAGGACTGTGAAATTGAAATAAGATTGACCACACATAGAGAGGATTGGGACTTCATTATGAAGTCAAAACATATATTTGGATTACAATATAACAAGTTTGTTTTAGCCCAAATCGTATTCATTGAACGACTCAAAACAATTTGTCAAGAGGGAGTTCACAATTATTGCACTTCATTGACCGTTTCAGCTTTTATTTTTAACTACTAGTAACAACCAGGGGCACTTAACTCTTCGCAACTAAAAGAACGTATGTTAAACTTGAAGAGGGAATTTTAAAGGGCCTGTTTCATATAGAAACAAAATGTGATTTAGATGAACCGGTACACTCACAAATAAGTAGGATGGCGAGACTTATGAGAAGAATTTCTCACGTTTGAATAGATCCGCTTGATATGAAGAAACCATAATATACAGATAGTAACACGGGATCATTGATATCTCGTTGGTTTACCTTAATTTCAGTTCATCGCAAATATCACTTAACCATGATGCACGTTTAGCGGCCCAGCGTGTCGTTATAGCCAGTGCGATATTACCTGAAACTGAACAGGCTTTGGTAATCATTAACGTTAATTACAGAGCGAAAGTATGATTCCAGCACAACACCACTGACTGACACACGTCAGCAAATATTCAATCTCAAAGATCTGTGTCATAAATTATAAACTTTTATCAGTGTATTTATGTGTTTGAAATTTCATAATATAAGTGAATGAACTTTTCTTTTGTCATGTTTGTCTGATTTAATACAAGTGTTTACAATTAGAACTTTCTATTTCTCAACAGTCCATCTTGAATAGATGTTACACAGATTCATCAGCTGTATTCAGAGGCTTATTATCAAGAAACAGCTACAGAAGAACCTGCCGCTAGCATCAGAGGTGCTGTCATGTCACTTGCTGCAGGCTGGCCTACCACCATGGACATCATTCTGTGTCAAATACAAAGCAGTTGTAAATGATCAGTTTGGATTGTCACATTTCAATTGGAGAGTAGAGAATGCAAATTATCACATTTTGAGAACTGGTTGTTTTCCTTTCATCAAGTACCACTGTTCACGGCGAGAGTACCAAGATCTCAGCTTTGAAAACACATTCTTCACGTGTCTCAAAGTTCTTAATATAGGTAAGATGTTTGGTACTTTGTAGCTGATAACAGTAATGCATTTTGATGAACTAAGCATGCTATGTGAGGAAGATGTTAACATGGCTGATAGCTAGTGTGTCAATCAACACATGTCCAGACTTGATTATTTGCATATCATCATGATATTGATGAAATATTGCCTCAAAATAACATTAATTTGCATATATCTTCTTTATTTGATTTTGGGTTTTCTGGAGGTATAAGTTTGTACATACTGTGCAATTTGATCCGTGTGGGAGTGTTCTCATGATGTAGTGTCTGACTGACTGTGGTTGGGGATTTAACGTGGGCTTTCCGACTAACAGCGTAATTCGCACACGGTGTAGTGTATGATTTATGATTTGATCTATCTAAGCAAATGTTAAGTACTCTTAATTATTAAATAATAATCAATTTTGACTTATTTTTCCTTTCACGTTTGTTTTCTTCCTTTTAGGTATACCAACTCTTGCTTATGGCATAGGGTCGTGGGTGTTTGCAAAGATCTCAGAGGACGTCTCAACATCAAAGGGTACTGTCTCAGTATATTTCCTCAACGAAGAAGATAGAAGTTCTCCCCATTAAACAATATTTGTGTAGTCAAAGCAGTCAGACAAGCCCACGTCATGCCTCCTCAGTCCTATGAGCTGAGCATCCCTGCTCTTCTCCTTGTTTTGTTTGTTGTGTTTGTGTTGATAGTTCTGATTGTCACCATTGTGGTCAAGATAATTAAGTGGATTGTTAATGGTGCGCTTAGGATTGTAAATGGTCCTGAGCGTGGATCACCGGAGAAAGCAGTACATCACTCTGCAAATAAACCACAATCTTTGAAAAAGGAATGAATTTACAGACATTGAAATGTGACATTGTAAACATGGTAAATGCCTTGTGAATTTAGTCTCTTTCATCTGCAAGATGTCGTTATATTTTCCCGTTTAAGTCTTCAAGTTTTTATCTTTGATCATGTTGATAGTTTAAATTTAATATAGTTTCTCCGCTGAAGCAAAGTTTGAACGCATCTTCTTTAAAGTTTGTTCGTTTAACTATTTAATTTTATTTGGTCTTTTTCAGTGTGGTAATTGCGTTTTATTTTCTGGGTGAAGTTTAACATGTTTAAGTTCTCTCTCTTTGGCAGATTGAACTGCAAAAAACATGGTATTCTTTTCCACTATTTTTTGGTTTAGGCATGTTTCATCATGTTACTGGTAATTATGTCATTTTTATATGTGAAAGATAACACTTATGTCCTTCTTTAAAAGCTGTTTGCGTACGTGAATGTGTGAAAAACAATGATATTTTACAGTTTCAACTCCGTTGTCTCACTGCTGCAGTAAATGGCAGTACAATTTTTAACACTTGTTTTTTAAATGGTTGCTTGTTTCACATGGTTGAGAGTTATGTTATGGTTGTTTTTGTGTCTCTCAACAAAACATCATCAGTGATATCATTATTGTTATGAGCTGTTTCCTGCCTGTGATTGATTTTACGTCATGGGGAGATTAGATCATGTAGACAACATGTATGACTTATATACCCCGGAGACAAATTCATGGTGCTGGAATTGATTTATTCCCAATACTCAGTCATAGAAAGTAGTTATTGGTGCTGTGAGAATGACGCTTCCATGATTGATATTACTGTGTTAGATATGAAGGCATAGATCATCTGTTTATGATGGCAATATTTCATATACCCTATTTGACGTAATAAGCGCCCAGGGCGCTCCTAAAATTAGAAATAGTGGGCTCTTATTAGAATATTATTTTGGAGAAAAAAATTAGAGTTGAAAGATCGTAAATTTCGTGTTTTATGCTGACAGCCTGAAATGATACAAAAGAAAAGTCTGTGCATATTATACACGACAGATATATTTTCCAGAAGTTAACTGCTCATAATTAAGGGTGCATATAACACATGAGTGCGTATTATACACGAATAAATAAGTGTACATTGATCAATCGAAAGGGGTGCTAATTGGGATTGTTCACTAGCCAATATATTAGCAAATATCGCCGTTGGCGCTTATTAGAGCGGGGCGCTTATTACGTCGAATACGGTATTAGCATGGTTGCAGAGTTGTGATCAGAATGAGTTTACTGCTAGGGATGTTATGCAGGGAGTTATCTAGACCGTCTCAGAGCCTGACATTTGGCTCCAAGTCTGCAGCAAATGTCAGTACAAATTTCCAAATTGGAATTAAACATTTCCCAATTCCTGCTGTTATAGTTATAACTAATGTTATGATGATGTAGTGTCTGACTGACTGTGGTTGGGGATTTAACGTGGGCTTTCCGACTAACAGCGTAATTCGCACACGGTGTAGTGTATGATTTATGATTTTATCTATCTGAGCAAAAGTACTCTTAATTATTAGATGTGACTTGTATACTCTGATCCCAGGACCTATACAGTGGAAGAGCCTTAATGATTGGTTTAACTTCATTGCATTCAATGCAGTGTTAAATTTCAATGTTAAGATACCTCTGAATTTAGAAAAATAAGAACTTTAAAAATATCCCAATTTTGAAAAAAATACATTCTCATCATTGCTTTTCACAAAAGTGTACAGATATAAAACAGTTACTTGGTGGTTTGATGCATATCATGTTAGACATGTACAAAGAAACTACATGTATGATCTACCAAAGCTATACATGGTAGAATTTGACAAGATCAGTGATCCAACAGCTCTTTCTTACTTCTTGTACAAGAGCATTATACTAGGTTACCGTATTCGCCATAATAATTTTAGGCCCGAGGTGCTTAGAAAATTGACCGAGGAGGGTGCTTATTAAAACCGTTCACATTTTGATTGTTGTCAGAGATCCAGTGGTAAAGAACAGACTTTCCATCATAGTTACTGGCTTTACATACCCATTTCTACAATTCTGTCTTTACTGTGAAAAGAACCGTAATATGCACAAGAAAATATGGATTTAAGTGTTAATATCTGGGCTTAGAATCAGGCATTTATTAATATTACAGACTGGTCTAGTTGTTCAGGAGGTGCTATTGGGGTGGGGTACTTAATACAGTGAATACAGTACCTTCTTTCATGCGGCACAATGGTACAAGACACTGCAATTCACTATTCAGAGTTGTGACTCTTAGCCATGTCAGGATCTGCTGATCCATGGTTCAAATGCTAGATTTGCCCTGATAAGGATCCTTCGCTTATCAAAATGATAACCCTGCTTGTGGGTTTCCCAAAGAACTTACCATGTATCCCATTTGGCTTTCCTCCCCCATGAGCCTACATGTGTTAGTATTACTGACATTCTGTTCAGTGAGAAGTGAAGACACTCACTCATGTCATCATTGTCAATACTTCATGGGTTTGTATACATAATGCTTTTCTATAGGGCTGGGACGGGTAACTCGAGCACTCGGGTCAGGAGCTGTGGTTAGTTTATGTGATATATTGTTTATTGACAAAAATTATCTAAAACTCTATGGTTACTCACAAGTCACTAATGTTCGCATTTCTTTCTGACTATGCGGGGCGGTCGGGTAGCCTTGTGGTTTAAGCGTTTGCTCGTCATGCCGAAGACCCGGGTTCGATTCCTGACATGGGTACAATGTGTGAAGCCCATTTCTGGTGTCCCCTGCCGTGATATTGCTGGAATATTGCTAAAAGCGGCATAAAATCAAACTCACTCACTCACTCACTCTGACTATGCACCCATTCCTTCTGACTTTTATATGTTTGAATGAAGATAAAACTTCAGTGTATGCATGACCAGATTGTTTTATACGTGTATCTAAATACATTTTTCCAGGGCTAAGGTCAAACTATTCCCAATCGTACATTTTGTACCTATCTCTTGAGACCTACAGTGGGTATTTGG